GGGTACTCATTTTCCACCGAGTCTTAGCTTCTACTCAACAACTGAACCTGCTCTAATCTACAGCATAATTAGAAATCTAAAGTGGGTGGGAAAGTGCAATCTTAGCACGTAATATATCTTCTATTCGATCTCTACAGCCATCGACATTATTCCAAACTTACCTTCTTATATATTCTTGTAAGCCTCTCATCTCTCTTTATTTCCCCAATCTTCTCTCCTCTATAGATCTCTCCTTATCTCTTTTCTTCTCGTGAATGATTACAACGGACCTGACGGTCTCAAAGTGCTGCAGCCACATAAATGACTGCACTTCCCCAAACCTAACCTAGCTGGAAAGTCGGGGCTGGGTTTTTTTTTTTCATTAAAGAACCTAAAACCAAAATTTGACTTCGCATACCAGAACACAATACGGTCCTACAGGAAGAGGTTCAAGATATAATAAATATAATTACATAAAACAATAACCTCTAAAACAGTTAAATCCAAAACTGTGTTAAAATTTATAAAAACCATAAAAATGTCTCGCGACATGGTCTTGTGCGAATTATATGGGTACCGAGTCGCATAGAAATAGTAGGAAGGGAGATAGCAAATATACTCGCCAGAAGTGCAACCGTCCGATCTACAATAAATGTAAATAATGCCAAACCTGTTAGTGCAACACGTCTACAATTGAGGTTATGGATAACGGAAACCCACACAATTCATTGGAATACTGAGGGGTGTGGGAAAACAAACAATTTTATGGGAAAAAAAGGAAATTAATAACTGGCCGGTATTCGCACAAGACATAACAGGCTGTGGGCTCACTTACATAAAATTAGGCATGCGAGGGAGGAAAGCAGCGTGGAGAACACAAGCTTCCGAACCAAATTCTTAGGAGATGACAAATTTTGTGAAATAACCGACGTTAGGTGGCGTTAATGAAAAAACTGTAAGACTTAACAAACAAAACAGAAATCCTAGACGTACAGGACAATCAAATCCAAAGATGACTTCTTCTAAATTTCTTTTATCTCTAGAGCGCACAACAGGCCACTTCCAGGCTTAAATCTATATCCTAATATTGGACATGCGGTTGTGTAAACCACGCCTCTGTCAACCTAACCTACGAGGATGTATTTTACCCTGCAATATTCAGAATGCCGAATATAAAGTTCAAATTGAAAACTGCATCATTATTTTCACAGAAGATGGCAACCCTTATCTGTATCTATTTATTGAATTTTGAAATCACATGTCTCCGCCAAAACAAAAGAGCATTATCATTAATTTCATTCAAGTGTTTCATGTTTTTTTTTCAAACATTTCTAACGACATTATAATTTATTCGATAAAAACAACAACAACAAAATAAACAACCTTTTCAAAAAAATATGGATAACCTCAAAATATTCCAAACAAAATCACACACAACTACATCACGATTACAAAGCGGAAAAATTGATCTCACAAAGCAAGAGAAACAAAACATTCTCTTAAATAAACACTGCTCCCTTTACCGAATTTCGAAAATCGAAGTGAATCAACAATTCGATCTCTGTATAACAGTTTCCAAAGCAACATTTTATTACCTGCGCGCAGTGCGGAATGCAGTAGTTACGTTGTTGTTCTTGTTATACAGCCATTTAAATCGACGCCATGTAAAAACGAAACGAAAGAAACATTTACGACGCGATGATCATCACGATCTATACATACATGTGTGGAAGCATGTATATGTAGTACATGGTGATCGATACAGTCAATGCATCGTATCGTTCGACAATTGAGTATGCTGCAGAACATATTCGTGAGCCAGAATCAATGGCTTCTTCTTTTTTCCATCATTTGGCTGGTTCGTATTTTTCCTCAGTTTCCTTTTTGTAAAATATTCTCTTCTTCTTCGGTTCATTGTTTTGTTGCTGCATTTGCTGTCTCTTTCTATGCGTAAGACAGGTAAACACACCACAAGCAACTGCTGAATACCAGCAGCAGCAACAGCATCTTGAATATCGGCATGTAAGCCATAAAGAAATAAAATATTGAACTAAAACACCGAATAATTTTGTATATGGACTAAGTCGTAATCGGATTAAATTGGGAAAAGAAATATTCGGATTTAGGAACTTAACGCCACTTCCGATAATCTGTGTTTAAAATATCCAATAGTATTTTACATATTTTTGCAGCCTGTGTCCTGCATTTAATTGCGAATATAAAATTTTTAATATTTTCTTTTTTTCCTATTTTTATCTCTCATTCTTTTTTTCTGTCTACATTCAACCCGATAATTCGTTTAGTACTTCATTTCTCCCTGTTAATTACATTTACATTTTAAACATTTACCACACAGTTATTCGACAGTTCCGACGCCTATTTGTGTCTGCACAAATATGCGAATATTAGGGTGGACATAAAAAAATGAAATTAAATGAACTTGATTAGACCTTGAATTAAAAAGCGTGGATTTTTAAAAGAATATGTTTTTAACGACTAGAATATTTTTTCAAATGTCAATGTGAGGTGTGGATTCTTAAGAATATTTTTTCAAGGATCCAAAAATTGTTTAAAGTCTATATGAGGTGTTAATTTTTTAAAGAATTTTTTCAAGGTCCCACAATTTCTTAAGGTCTACATGAGGCGTGGATTTTTTAAGAATTTTTTCAAGGTCCCACAATTTTTTGAGGTCTATATGAGGCGTGGATTCATAAGAATATTTTTTCAAAGGTCCAACAATTTTTTGAGGCCTATATGAGACGTGGATTTTCTAAGAATTTTTTTCAAGGTCTATATGAGGTATTTTAGACCAATAGGTGTGGTTTCTTATAAATATATTTTTGAGGCGTGGTTTCTTATGAGAATATTTTTTGAGGCGTGGTTTCTTATGAGAATATTTTTTGAGGCGTGGTTTCTTATGAGAATATTTTTTGAGGCGTTGTTTTCTTATGAGAATATTTTTTGAGGCGTGGTTTCTTATGAGAATATTTTTTGAGGCGTTGTTTTCTTATGAGAATATTTTTTGAGGCGTGGTTTCTTATGAGAATATTTTTTGAGGCGTTGTTTTCTTATGAGAATATTTTTTGAGGCGTGGTTTCTTATGAGAATATTTTTTGAGGCGTGGTTTCTTATGAGAATATTTTTTGAGGCGTGGTTTCTTATGAGAATATTTTTTGAGGCGTGGTTTCTTATGAGAATATTTTTTGAGGCGTGGTTTCTTATGAGAATATTTTTTGAGGCGTGGTTTCTTATGAGAATATTTTTTGAGGCGTGGTTTCTTATAAGAATATTTTCAAAGGGTCTTTTAGGCGTGGTTTCTTATAAGAATAATTTTGAGGGTCTTTTATGCGTGGTTTCTTATAAGAATAATTTTGAGGGTCTTTTATGCGTGGTTTCTTATAAGAATAATTTTGAGGGTCTTTTATGCGTGGTTTCTTATAAGAATAATTTTGAGGGTCTTTTATGCGTGGTTTCTTATAAGAATAATTTTGAGGGTCTTTTATGCGTGGTTTCTTATAAGAATAATTTTGAGGGTCTTTTATGCGTGGTTTCTTATAAGAATAATTTTGAGGGTCTTTTATGCGTGGTTTCTTATAAGAATATTTTTGATGGTCTTTTAGGCGATATTTCATATAATAATTTTCTTGAGGGCCCTTTAGGAGTGGTTTCTTACAAGAATATTTTCTGAGGGTCTTTTAGGCGTGGTTTCTTACAATAATATTTTCTGAGGGTCTTTTAGGCGTGGTTTCTTACAAGAATATATTTTTGATGGTATTTAAGGCGTGGTTTCTTACAAGAATATATTTTTGATGGTATTTAAGGCGTGGTTTCTTACAAGAATATTTTTTGAAGATCTTTTCATTTCTTATTAGAATATTTTGTGAGGGTATTTCAGGTGTGGTTTCTTACAAGAATATTTTTTGAGGGTCCTTTCATTTCTTATTAGAATATTTTTAAGGGCTATTTAGGCGTGGTTTCTTTTAAGAATTTGTTTTGAGTTTGCGGTATTTCATATAAGAATATTTTTTGAGGATCTTTCCATTTTTTATTAGAATATTTTTGAGGGTCTTTTAGGCGAGATTTCTTTTTAGAATATTTTTTGAGGGACAGCTTTTTGATGGTATTTTAGGCTGGGGGTATTTCCTATAAGAGTATTTTTGAGGACATATTTTTGTGGGTCTTTTAGGTGTGGTTTCTTATAAAAATATCTTTTGAGGATATTTTAGGTTGGGGGTATTGTTGAAAGTCTTTCCAATAAGAGTATTTTTCTAATAAGAATATGTTAGAAGACCTTTCTTATAAGAATATTTTTGAGGGCGTGGTTTCTTTTAAGAATATTTTTTGAGCACCTTGTAAGAATGTTTTTAAGGATCTACTAGTATAATAGGCCCGGTTTCTTTTAAGAATATTTTTGAGGGCCTACTAAAATAATAGGGCGTGATTTATGTTAATAATATTTTTTGTAGATCTTATAGGAATTTTTTTCTGTGAAGAATATTTTTTCTTTATAAAATGTAAAACCTGTTTGTCTATTACACCCTATTATACACTCATAGTTGTACAAAAAACATTGCTGTGCAATTGATGATCATTGATGCCACAGGAATTGGAAACCCATTAGTTTTAAATGGGTTTCATGTCAAAATATTCGATTTCAGTGGTTTTTGAGGTTTCTCTATTATTTCTTGTTATTGTGGTTGTTGTTTTTTTTTTATGGCTGGCTCTTGCAGTCGATAATTTGTTGGATTTGCCTCATCTCAATTTTATTTCTTTTTGTCTTTAACCACCCGCAATGAATTGGCTTGGACATCGTTTTTGTTGTTGTTGGTACAGATAAATGATTGAAACTTTTAACACTTTTGGTCAAATGTTATGCCGACAAGCGAACATACTGTGACACATAATAAATCATTTTAAAATTTAAATTAAATCAACTACAAAAAATTGGTTATTTCCCTTCCAATATATTTTTTAATTTTTTTTCATAACTAATTTTTGTTGTTTTTGGTTTTTCTTTGCAGAAAACTTGGCCTTGATTTGGTACCACGTATTGGCCCCTTGGCTGTAGATCCTCATAACATTGGAATTGTTGGACTATATAATGTTCATGTCACAAGTGCCGATAATGCCAAAGCCTCATCGGTAGGTTGAATGAAATAAAAAAAATTAAATGAAAACAATTTGAATTTTTTCTCCAATTTTTCCCCCAGAGTCGAGGTACTTTGCGCCGTAAAACCCAACGAAAAATCCTCACCCACCATTTATATTTTTGTATGCGGGAATTTGGTTATCGCATTGGTGGTGGTGACGATGCTGAAGTCTATTTCTATTTATACGATGCGAATAATATGAAGGCCGTGTCGGAACGATTTGTGGTGAAAATATGTAAAGACGGATATGCGAATTACATTGAAAGGGTCAATAGTAATTGTACAGTGTTCACCGATTTGGGTATGTTCGAAATTTATATCGAATTTAGAAATTTATTTTTAATTCAATTTTTTTTCTTTTCTTCCAGGTGCTGCCGATTTAAATGAGGATCTCTATTTGGTGGCTGTGGTAATGCGTGTGGGTAAAATTTTACCCAGCGAAAAGTCAAGTAACAATTCCTGTTGTACCGGCACTTCGGCATATCGCCGACCATTTGGTGTTGGTGTTCTTTCGTTGGCCGATATTGGCCATTATGATACCACCATTGAATCCGAGGAAAAGGATTTCAACATCAAACTGGTCTATCACAACGATGAGAAGGATTTTCATCAGCTGCATGAATTGATTATTAAAAAATCGAGCAGTAAATTCCAACCGATAACAACAATAAATCAAAACAATCAGGGTATAATTGTCTCACTGAAGTTATTGCATGGTGGTTTGGGTCAGGCGAGACAAGAACAACCTTTGCTCTTCCAGGGTAGTACAATTACACGGAAAATGGGCTTCCCCGATGTCATTATGCCGGGTGATGTGCGCAATGATATGTTCATCACGTTGGAAAGGGGTGAATTTGAGCGGGGTGGCAAAAATACAGCGAAAAATATACTCGTTACGGTTGTGGTCCTGGATGTTGCTGGCAATGTCCTATCAGAATGTCTATGGGGTGCTTCGGGTATGGATACCCAAAATTACTACAAATCCATGATTCTCTATCATCAGAATGCACCCTGCTGGAATGAAATGTTACGGCTAAGTGTACCCATTGATAAATTCTCGGCGGCCCATGTACGCTTCGAATTTCGCCACTGTTCGACAAGGGAAAAATCTGAACCGAAGTTGTTTGGTTTCAGTTTTGCCCGTCTCATGGATCCCAGTGGTGCCACCCTGGCCGATGGCCAACATGAGCTTTACGTCTACAAATGTGAAGATTCCGCCAAGCTAACCACTGCCAATTATTTAATATTACCCTGTAAACCCAAAGATCCGCATGCCAAGGCGGAATGTAGTTCCACATTTCATCGCAGTTCCAAGGAGGTGTTTGTAATGCGTTCGCTGCTGTGTTCCACGAAGTTGACCCAAAATGCCGATTTACTGTCGTTGCTACAATGGCGGGCCCATCCAGAAAAGATACAAGATTCTCTAACGGGTGTGCTAAGGCTTAACGACGAAGAGCTGGTAAAATTCTTACAAGATGTACTCGATGCTCTCTTTGCCATGTTCTCCAATGAGGAGGGCAATAGCACTCAACATTCCGGTTTAGTCTTCCATGTCCTCGTGAGCATTTTCAGTCTTCTGCAGAGTAATAAATTTCAACATTTTCGCCCTGTCATGAATGAGTATATTGAAAATCATTTTGCTGCCGCATTGGTGTACAAGGGTCTAATTACCTCTGTTGAACATATGGCTGTGTTCCTGACAAAAGCCGAACATCCCGACCCTTTTCAAAAATGTTTTGGTTCTTTGGAATATATTTTTAAACTTTTGATACAGTCACGTAAGCTCTTCGCCCGGGCCACAGGTGGTCAATATGAGGATTCATTTCGCCGTGATTTACATTCACTATTTACCGCTCTCAATGGTATGTTGGCGGTGCCGTCATATGATTTGATTATACCCACTCAAGAGGCTTTGCTAAGTTCGACGGGTGTGGTTTTGGAACAATTGAAGGATACCCTACCGGCACCGGAATTGGGTATGCTGGCACGCAATATGTTGGATGCCATACCACGAGATGCTCCGGTGCGCTTGATTCAGGCCAAGTTACAGGCGGTTAAGGATTTGGTGTCGGGCGAACTTTTCCGGGAAGATGGTAAGTAAAAAAAATATTTTTTCAAAAAGGATTTTTTAAATATTTTTTATTTTTTCAGATTCCCGCACCGTCATCCTCTCCGTGGCCTGCAAACACTTGCGCATGCATCTCAGTCGCCGTAATGAATTGAAACTTTGTGCCGATATTTTGGCGGAAATTCTCACCCATCTCTATGATCTGCAAAAAGAACAAAAGGACAAAGTCACCAACACACTGCAGCACGATTTAGATTCGCTGTGTAAAAATATTCTGGGAATTCTAATCAAAACAATAATTATCATAATCGAGGGTTCAAATCCTGTCGTACCCCAATTGGTAGCCTGCATGTTGGGCCTGCTACAACTTTTGGATGAAACTCAATACAAACGTTACTGGGATGAATTGTGCCCCAATAAAGATCCTCGAGATCTAAAGGATTTCCTTTCCAGTTCATTACTGGTATTCGAAGAACTTCTCTCGCAGGATTGGTTAGTCTTTCCCAACGATTGGTTAATTATGAAATTGGCCTGCAATGATGTGCTACGCAAATCTCTGGAAGAATTTGCTAAACCTTTGGTCTATCGTTTCTTATCAACGAAATCATTTGATTTTCAATTATGGCGAAAATATTTCCATTTGGCTGTGATCTTCCTAACCCAACCCTCTTTGCAATTGGAAAAATATCGTGAACCTAAGAGACGTAAAATTCTACATTCACATGGTGATATGCGTGTCCTAATGGGTTTTCAAATATTGAGTATGTGGTCACAGTTGGGTGAACAGAAATTAAATTTTATACCATATATGGTGGGGCCGTTCCTGGAGGTTACTTTGGTGCCGGAACCATCGCTAAGGAAAGCTACACTAACTGTATTCTATGATATGATTCAGTGTGAACAGGTAAATATATTTTCAGTATAAAATTTTTAGGTGACCTCCGAGCCCTAAATTTTGAGAAGAATGAATGCTATTAGAGGCGTGATTTATTTTAAGAATATTTTTCCAGGTTAATTAGAAGCGTGGATTTTTTAAAGAATATTTTTTCAAGGACTATTAAAGCTGTACATTTTTAAAAGAATTTTTTTCAGGGCCGCAAATGTTTAAAAGAATATTTTTTCAGGGACTATTAAAGGCGTGGATTTTAAAATACTATTTTTTAATGGCTATTAGGGGCTTGAATTTTTAAAATAATATTTTTCAGGACTATCAAATGCGTGGATATTTAAAATAATATTTTTGAGGATTTTTATACCCTTCACCACACAGTGTCTTTGTGCATATGCTTGTAAGAGGCAAAAGGAAACGATATAGACACATGGTTCCTTTTGAGAATATGCATAGAATCACTTTTTAAGTCGATTTATGCATGTCCGTCAGTCTGTCTGTCTGTCCATGTTAAATTGTAAACAAAGTACAGGTAACATTTATGATCCGAATTGGATGAAATTTTGCATAGGTCACTTATTTGGCCTAAGGACGAACCCTATTGAAATTGGGAAAAATCGGTTCAGATTTAGATATAGCTCCCATATATATTTTCGTCCGATTCAATGTAAATGGTGTACCAAAGTCCCATATATCTTTCGATTTGCTAAGTTTCCTGAAAATCGGTTCAGATTTAGATATAGCTCCCATATATATTTTCGTTCGATTTAATTTAAATGGTGTACCAAAGTCCCTATATATCTTTCGATTTGCACGAAATTTTGTATAGTGTACTGAATTAGGTCCAGAATGATGTGTATTAAGTTTCCTGAAAATCGGTTCAAATTTAGATATAGCTAAAGACCCAAAGTTAGACTGATTAACAAAAAATTTTGCACAATGTACTGAGGTTAATATAAGCTAGCGTGTGGAAATTTTTTGAAATCGGTTCAGATTTGGATAGAGCTCCTAATATATTTTCTCCCGATTTTAAGTACATGATACACCAATAACTCAAAATGTGGCCGATATGCACAAAACATACTGAAATTAGTATAACTTAACCTGTGACAAATTCCGATGAAAATGGATTCATCTGTTGAATATACCCAAAGTGGTGAAGGACTTGTAAGAGGCGTGGATTTTTAAAATAGTATTTTTGAGGGCTTGTAAGAGGCGTGGATTTTAAAATAATATTTTTGAGGGATTGTAAGAGGCGTGGATTTTTAAAATATTATTTTTGAGGGCTTGTAAGAGGCGTAGATTTTTAAAATAGTATTTTTGAGGGCTTGTAAGAGGCGTAGATTTTTAAAATAGTATTTTTGAGGGCTTGTAAGAGGCGTAGATTTTTAAAATAGTATTTTTGAGGGCTTGTAAGAGGCGTAGATTTTTAAAACAGTATTTTTGAGGGCTTGTAAGAGGCGTAGATTTTTAAAATAGTATTTTTGAGGGCTTGTAAGAGGCGTAGATTTTTAAAATAGTATTTTTGAGGGCTTGTAAGAGGCGTAGATTTTTAAAATAGTATTTTTGAGGGCTTGTAAGAGGCGTAGATTTTTAAAATAGTATTTTTGAGGGCTTGTAAGAGGCGTAGATTTTTAAAATAGTATTTTTGAGGGCTTGTAAGAGGCGTAGATTTTTAAAATAGTATTTTTGAGGGCTTGTAAGAGGCGTAGATTTTTAAAATAGTATTTTTGAGGGCTTGTAAGAGTCGTAGATTTTTAAAATAGTATTTTTGAGGGCTTGTAAGAGGCGTAGATTTTTAAAATAGTATTTAAGAGGCGTAGATTTTTAAAATTGAGGGCTTGTAAGAGGCGTAGATTTTTAAAATAGTATTTTTGAGGGCTTGTAAGAGGCGTAGATTTTTAAAATAGTATTTTTGAGGGCTTGTAAGAGGCGTAGATTTTTAAAATAGTATTTTTGAGGGCTTGTAAGAGGCGTGGATTTTTAAAATTGTATTTTTGAGGCTTGTTAGAGGCGTGGATTTTTAAAATTGTATTTTTGATGGCTTGTAAGAGGCGTGGATTTTTAACATAATATTTTTGAGGGCCTGTAAGAGGCGTGAATTTTTAAAATAATATTTTTGAGGGCCTGTAAGAGACGTGAATTTTTAAAATAATATTTTTGAGGGCTTGTAAGAGGCGTGGATTTTTAAAATTGTATTTTTGAGGACTTGTAAGAGGCGTGGATTTTTAAAATTGTATTTTTGAGGACTTGTAAGAGGCGTGGATTTTTAAAATTGTATTTTTGAGGACTTGTTAGAGGCGTTGATTTTTAAAATTGTATTTTTGAGGACTTGTTAGAGGCGTTGATTTTTAAAATTGTATTTTTGAGGACTTGTTAGAGGCGTTGATTTTTAAAATTGTATTTTTGATGACTTGTTAGAGGCGTGCATTTTTAAAATTGTATTTTTGAGGACATGTAAGAGGCGTTGATTTTTAAAATAGTATTTTTGAGGGCTTGTAAGAGGTGTTGATTTTTAAAATTGTATTTTTGAAGACTTGGAAGAGGCGTGGATTTTTAAAAGAATATTGCTAATGTTTTCGTTCTTTTTTTTCAGAGTGCCCGTGGCTCTTTCCGTTGGGTTGAAAGTGAACTTATCGACAAATTAGATTTGCTAATAAGTGAAAATAAGGGCGATGATGAATATCGCGAACTTTTCAGCACCATGTAAGTTATTTGTTGTTTCAATTTTCGAATTCACTTTAAAACATATATCTACACCATCTACTAATTGTACTACTACTAATATCAACACACTTGCTGCTTGATGTTGTTCATTGTAAATGTTTCATATTTTTCAATTTTTTTTTTCAATATTTCAATTTTTTTTGTTTTAATTTTTAAATATTTAATAACTTGTGCTTTTCATCATCATTATAAAAAAAACTTTCTTCTTAAATAACAATGCATTCAAACCTGAAACCAAAAAACCCCATACTACCACAAAAAAGGGAACATCTAAGTCTGGTGTAAGTTAAACATTTATCTCATCATCTGCTGTGGTCATTTTATTATTTTGTAGATTCATTTTATATAAAAACAGAATCATTGCCTGTTGTTATTTTATATTGTAAATAATTATTTTTTATTTAAAGAAAAAATAATTTCTGTAAGGAAATGTTTTTGGCGATTCGACATCCAAAAATAACTTTTTTTTGGCTTATAAATTTTGCATTGGCCCACATTTTTTAAAATAAAAAATAACCCATTTTTAAAATTGGTTTAAGAATTTCATTATTTATTGTATTATTTCAATCTCCGTGTAGCTTCTTAAATATAATTTCCTTTATTGTCATAATTTTAATATTTTTTGTTTTTGTAAAAGTCTTCTTGAAAAGGTCCAAAATGAAAATCCCATTTGGAAAGATGCTGGCACGGCATTTATTGCCTCAGTTACACGTCTCTTGGAACGTTTACTCGATTATCGTAGCGTCATGCAGGGTGAAGAGAATCGTGATAAACGCATGTCCTGCACGGTAAATCTTTTGAATTTCTATAAAAATGAAATCAATCGCAAAGAAATGTATTTGAGGTAAGTTTTGAAAAAAATATTTTATAAAAATGTTTACAATAATGAGTGTGTGTGTTTGTGTTTTTTCAGATATATTTACAAATTACATGATTTACATTTGCAAGCTGAAAACTATACGGAGGCTGGTTTTACATTAAAACTATATGCCGACATGTTAAGTTGGGATCGTGAAACATCAAGTTTATCGCCAAATGGTAATGATGGCCAGCCCGAGTGGCAGCGAAAGGAACAATTGTATCATGAGGTAAGTGGATTTTTTAAAATAACATTTTTGAGGGCCTATAAGAAGCGTGGATTTTTAAAATAACATTTTTGGGGGTCTATAAGAAGCGTGGATTTTTAAAATAACATTTTTGAGGGACTATAAAAAGCTTGGATTTTTAAAATAACATTTTTGAGGGCCTATAAGAAGCGTGGATTTTTAAAATAACATTTTTGAAGGCCTATAAGAAGTGTGGATTTTTTAAATAACATTTTTGAAGGCCTATAAGAAGTGTGGATTTTTAAAATAACATTTTTGAAGGCCTATAAGAAGTGTGGATTTTTAAAATAACATTTTTGAGGGCCTATAAGAAGCGTGTATTTTTAAAATAACATTTTTAAATAACATTTTAAGGGGGCGATGATTTTATTTATTTAAATCTTAAATTTTATCTAATTTCCCTTTTTTCGTTTACAGATCTTAAAATATTTCGATAAAGGCAAATGCTGGGAGAAAGGTATACCACTGTGCAAAGAACTAGCCTTACTTTACGAGACGAAACGATTCGATTATAATAAATTAAGTGAAATTCTAATATTGGAAGCTAAATTCTTTCAAAATATACTAACACAACTGAGGCCAGAACCGGAATATTTCCGAGTGGGTTTCTATGGCTTGGGCTTTCCACTATTTGTGAGGGTAAGTAACTGCAAACATTTTTTTTAATATATTTTTTTAAAATCCCAATTTTTTGTCTGCAGAATAAACAATTCGTTTATCGTGGCCTCGAGTATGAACGTATCAGTGCATTTACCCAACGTTTGCAAACCGAATTTCCAGCTGCCCAAACTCTGAACACCAACAGTCCACCGGATAATTCCATTCTTTCGGCACCCGAACAATATATACAAATAAGTAATGTAAGACCAGTGGCCGACGCCCAACCATTGAAAACGGCCATGGTAACGGTACCGGAAAAAATTGCCCGCTTCTATGAAGTGAATGATGTTAGCCGTTTCATATCCGATCGTCCCATACACAAGGGTCCCGTCGACAAAGACAACGAATTCAAAAGTCTATGGATTGAACGTACCACGTTGGATATTGCCCAACCGTTGCCGGGCATTTTACGTTGGTTTGAGGTTAAACATAAATCCGTTCAGGAATTGACACCCGTGGAATTTGCCTGCGAAACGATGCATAATGTGGGCAAAGATATATGGGATTTGATACAACAGTATCGTCAGGATCCCAAACGTAATATCAATCCGTTTTCAATGCGTCTGCAGGGTGTCATCGATGCCAATGTTATGGGTGGTATTAGTAAATATCAAGAAGCCTTTTTTACGGAACAATTTCTGAAGTCACCTCAGGGTCAGGGTCAACAGGCCAATGTACAAAAATTGAAAGCTTTAATATTGGAAAAAATACAAATTCTAGATCAGGCATTGGAGTTACATGGTCAATTGGCTCCGGCCGGGGTACAGCCGTTGCACAATCGTCTCTTGGAACGTTTTTCACAGCTGAAACAAAGTCTTTCGGGTTTAGGGCGCCTCAAGCGCCAGCCTTCCGAGAGTATTGTGAATACACCTTTGCCACCATTGCCCACTGAGAAACGTTTGATGGGTGTTACTACTGCCGGAGCCCCTAATGCTCTGGCCTCAAATTATTATGAAACTGATGAAATTTATACAAGACCCGGAGACACTCTAAGGCCGGTTGAATCAATTGTGGCCATGAATAGATTCTGTGCCAACAACTCCTATCAAACACTGAGCAAGGAAAACTTGTCGAATAGTATTGGTCATGATGTTGCGACAGCAACAATAAATAAGGACAATTCAGAGAGCTGTCCTCCGCCCATACCAAATAGGCCTAGATCACAAAACTTTTCCAATTCTCTGTCAATGGATGGTCCGGAGGTGCCACCAAAACGCACACATCAGGTGCCAGGTTCACCAGGGGCACCGCCTCTACCACCCAGAGGTATAACGCCCGACAAAAGAGCTTCCAATCCGATGATTTTCAATGATTTCTCTAGTGAGTCTCCCGCTTCAAGTATGCCCCGGAGACCCCACTCCACTTCACATCAGCACAATCAAAAATATGCCGTTGTAGATATTAGTTTTGATGACCCAGAGGCCGATCAGCAGCATTTAACGCATTCAATGAATTGTCATGCCTCCTCCTCCGCCTCGGATAATCATCATTTGTCCACCTTGTCATATGCTCCAAATGATTTTCGTGATTCGGGTATATCCACCACGAGTACCCACGAATTGAATCATTTAAATAATTTGAGTGAAGAATCATCTTCGAATTCCATGAGTACGGTACATCATCGTGATCATTGTCGCCTCAGCTCAAGTGGCAGCATGGAAAATGGTCAATATTTATCGTCCAGTCATAACAATGGCGTCGGTGGTGGTTTAAGTTCAACACAACGGGAGAACTCCTCAAGTTCCTTTGATGTGGAAGATTTGCCCATGCCTCCACCACCCATACCACCAAAATCATTGAATATCATTGGCAATGCAACATCCATGAATGAGTCATCTTCATCGGAAGGTCCTTCCACCAACACCACCACCAACAACAATACACACAATCATTCCACCAATACATTGCAGCACACAGCAACGGCATCATCATCCACCGCACCACATACACACCCGCACTCGCACCTCCATCATCATCAACATCACAGTCATATGCATGCCGCCCAGAATGGTCACACCGCCAATGACGGTTATGTATCACCTAAGGCCGCCATGGCCCACAGTAGTAGTACACAATCGGCAGGAAATGCAAGAGCAAGTTTGGACGAAACAGAAAACGAAACTCATAACGAACTTGGCAACACTTTTTGAGTTACAATATGTCGCTGCCACCATCAATCGCCAACATCGACATCTAGCATAGACTTTAATACGAATACGGAAACATCATCGACGCCCAATAGTAGTCAATCGCCACCGCCGACACGTACCATGTTCACGGAACAGGCGGTGGTGCATGCCTCACAGTCGTTGACATCATTGACAATGACCAATACGACAAATAATACGTCAGGGTTGGGTTCACCCAGTCATCATCAACCCCATCATCCGAATCATCCTCCTCAGCATTATAATGATTTCAAGGAACTATCATCGACTAATCAGGTTAAATTTAACACTCAAAAGCAGCAACATTATAACACAGCAACAACAACAACAGCAACACAATCTCAACAAACACACCAACAACATAATGTATCAGCATCATCATCATCCGCTGCATATGCTTCTTCACATGTTCATCATGGCCATGCTCATTCACATTCCCATGCTCCTCCACCATCGGCCAGTCATCATCATCATCTTTCACAACAACAACAACAACAACACTTGAATTTTGCCAAACAACAACACCAACATTCGTACACCCTACCATCATCATTACCAACATCATCGACTTCTACTTTAACAACAGCCATGCAGAACACAACCACATCATCCATGTTTGATATACCCAAAACCATCAACTCCAACATAGAACATTGCTCCTGTGGTCTCACCTTCAAAGTGGATCGCAATACAAATAATCTTCTAATGATGTCAACAACATCCACATCATTGTTGAATTTAAATAATCCACATTATCATCAATATTCCGATAATAATACGACACGTTCACTGGATGCCAACACCGCCACGCATCTTGATCAGGGGCTGGGGCAGGGACACTCAACAAGTTACAGCAGCAAATCATCACATCAGCATCATCAGAAACAGCACGCCCGGCATTGCCATCATCGTCGTCATGATTCGCATGATTATGCTGTGCCGCAGCTGTTGCAATATCAACAGGAACCTCCCGAAATTCATACGCATGAATATTTTTCTCAGGAGTCACAGGAATCGTTGACCACAAATACGGCCACCATGGCTTTTAGTCCTCATGCCACACAGCAGCAGCAGCAACAACAACATAGTTGTCATCGTCATTCACATGTTCATGCTCAAACCGATTTTAGCTATGGTCAACGATGACGGCCACAGGCTTCAAAATGAGAAATGTATGAATTGAAAGAAACTTCCTTAGATATCGCCTATCGCTTTTGAATCAACCACAAAAAGGGGTCTTTATTGATGTAGGCATAGAAGGAAATTGTTTACGTTTCAGTTTCTTTGTTCCAAAAAAAGGGGATTTTTTTATAATTCTCCCATTCGATGATTTTTAATGATTTCTCTAGTGAATCTCTGCTCTCAAGTATGGCCCCACTCCACTTCACATCAACACAATCAAAAAAATTTCCCATTGTAGATATTAGTTTTGGATAACCCGGAGGCCGCTTCAGCAGCATCTATGAATTCAATGAATTGCTATGACTCATCATCCGATAATCATCAGCTGGCTAACTTGTCATATGCTGCAAATGATTTTCATGATTCGAGTATATCCACCACCACTATAACGGCCACGGGCTTCGAAATGTAATAATTGGAAGGAACCAGTATCGCTTTTGAATCTCAAAAAACGGGATATATTGGTGTAGGAATTGAAGCAAATAAATTCTGTTTCATTTCCCTTTCTTCCAAAAGGGGATTTTTGTCGATTGCCATTAACAATGGGAACCTGGATGATTATTTTTGTTGATGAAATCAATGCATGCTCAAACAGATTTTAGCTGTGTTTCTAAACGAGAAATGTATAGAAATCGAAGGATTAGAATATTGAATCTTTATATTTTGTTGTAGGAATGTGGGGAAATGGCTATTTCGATTGTCATTTACCATCATGGGACATGGGTTACAACCTGGATTAAAAATGTTCAAGGTGTAGTTTTTTATAATATTTTCAAAAAATAGCAAATCAAAATTTTTTTAAAAAAAATTTTTTGAAGAAATATCAAGGCGTTGATTTTTTAAAAAATATTTTTTAAAGAAATATCATGGCGTTGATTTTTAAAAAAAAATATTTCTTGAAGAAATATCATGGCGTTAACTTTTCAACAAATATTTTTTTAAATTGGAGAATTTTTTGTTTAAGCAAAGTAATACAGAGATAAATGTTTCGTAGTTGCAAATATATTTCCCTAGCATACTTTTAGGCGCCACTTCAATTCATATTCATTCGGTTGTGTGCTGGATCACAGTTAATATCGTATTTTTTAATATTTTATAATTCGTATAATTTATTGTTTTATTTTTAATAAAATTATTTTTATAATAGTTTTTTGTTTATTTTCAATACGAGTATTTGATTAAAAATTATTTGCAAAAACAATTATTATTATATTAAAAATTATAGATGGTTGTAATTTGATATTTTGGGTGCTTATTCGGTATAAAATCTCCTCCTTGCCAAAAAATAATTAATTTTGGTCCATTTTTAGATATAGCCCACCCATGTAACCGTACTTTCCGATTTTATATATATTGTTGTTGTAGCAATCCTAGAGCTTTTTTCGCAATGGGCTGAGGTGACAGACATTGGTCGGGTCTTTTCGGATCGTAGACCCCTCTGGCGTGGAATTGTAAACTACTTTTTTATATATAAGAGATTTTGGTGATATTTTCCAAACGATATGAATGTAATTTGGTTGTTTGGTTTATAATTCAGCTTTAAATATTCCATTTGATAAACTTTTGAAGAAGTTTATCAAATGGAATATTTCGATTTTCCAAAAAAATTTTCTCCATTTTGTTAATTGGGGATAAAATCTCTTTGCATAATATAAATCATTTTGGTACATCTTTAGTTAAAACCCCTTTGTAAAAGTACCTTCCGATTTTCAGTATTTTAAAGATTTTGGTCACATTTGCCAAACGATTTGATTGTAATTTAATAATTGAGGGCTGGAATTTGAAATTGAAATCTTCCTACCAAAAATTGTGAATATTGGTTAATCTTTATGTATCGCCTCCATATAACGGCACCTTCCGATATTCGGTATTTTAGGGATTTTGGTCGCATTTCGATGGTTAGAAAACCCCCCTGTTAAAAATTATCGATATTGATACATCTTAATGTGTAGCCCTCCTATATAACGGTAACTTCCGATTTTCGATATTTTAAAAATTGTGGAAACGAATTGCCTGAAATTTGATATTTTTAGTTGTCATTGGTTAGAAAACCCCCCACTGCTAAAAATTATCAATATTGGTAAAACTTTATGTGTAGCCCCCATATAACCTCCGATTTTCTGTATTTTAAGGGTTGTGGACACATTTTCCAAACAAATTGGTGAAATTTAATATTTTGGGTTATAATTAAGTAGAAAATCTTCCAAACAAAAATTATCGATATTGATTCATCTTTAGGGATCACCCCCTAAATAAGGGTACCTTCCGATTCTCTAGTATTTAAAGATTTTTTAATACTCTTTGCAACCGCATTGGCTGAAATTTGATATCATTTGTTCTTAATGGGTAACAAATAGTCGAACCAAAAATTGTTCAAATTGGTCCCATCTTCGGTATAGGCGATATAGAAGCTTAACTCAATTTTTCAAAAATTTTGAGAATTTTGGTCAGAAATTTCGACCCTCCATCTTATCTTAAACGTTTTTATTCCAGAGAGTTGGTCTCTGCAATAAAGAGTTCATATATAATTTATCTCAATATTAATTGAATTGAAACAAAAAGATCTAAAATCTATTGAAATAAATCAAAACAACGTGTATTCCTATAAACTATTAAAGAATAAAACATTTACTATGCAACCAAAATTATCAAAATTCGAATGTTGTGAAATCAATGATGTATTTGAGAAATTTAAATATATAGTATATACACATACCCATATAGAGAAGTCTTTGGAAATATGTTAACAAAAAATAAATAAAAAAACACCACATTTTTATATAAAAAACATACGTAGAATTAAAAAAAAATAATAATAATTACAATATTAAAAATTTACCTTAGAAATGAAAACATTGTGCAATGCAGGCATTACTTTATTGAATACAAAAAAAAGTAAAAAAACATGCAATTTATAAACTATCTGAAAAAATAATGAAATGAAAAAACGAAATCAATAATATTTATACGCATAACTTTTTAACAATTAAAAACAAGAAATACACAATTTTTTGAATATTTCAAAACAACAAATTAATTATTAATATTAACGAATTATCTACAAAGAAGTGCTAAATACAACGCATACATACGCACACAATTATGCTATATGCAAAAAACGAAGTTAAAAAAAATTAAAAACTTATATTCGAATAATTAAAAACAAAAATAACAAAAAAAAAATAAAGCAAAAATTAAATAAAATAACATTTTTTATAAAAAAAAACATTTAATACGATTTCATTTAGTTTTGTTATATGTTTTTTACACATAATTTGTATATTATTTGTATTATGTGAAAAAAAATTCCCCACTGTGTATTGTTTTTCATTCGAATTTATAATTTTCGAATCAAAACAATTTAAAAAATCATATCTTATTATAAATATATAAATTGTTTTTAATTTTCCATTTTAAGACCACTGTTTATATATCTTTGCTAGATTTACTCTTATTTTTTATTAAATATATACCTACTCTATATACATATATGCAAGTTATTATCGATATAACCTAGTCAGATGAGATAATACATTTATAATAATAAAGAAAAAAATGAAATAATGCATACATTTACACATACAAAAATGACAAAAAATCATTAAAACCGAAATCAAAAAAATGAAAAAAAACACGTTCTTCTCATAATCTTCAAAATATCATAGTTTTTAATTTATAACAAAAGCATAAAACAACAAATAATAAATAAACAATTAAAAAAAATAAATTAATTAATTAAATGTGTTTTTTGGTCAATAATTAACGTAAGTTTTTTTTAATATGAACCAGTAAGCGTTATAGTCGGACGGGGCCGACCATACGATACCCCACACAACTACCACGGAACTCTTACTTTCTGCGGATGTTTATTTCGAGCCTATGCAATTTTTCGTGATATCTGCACCCTCTTGACCGGTTAGAGATCAACAGCATCTCTTACTACACTGATATATATTCCGAATATTCACAATATTCATTACAGGCCTGGTAATTACTTATCAAGATTCCCTTCACCATGGGTTGTGCTGTGATGTTCGGCTTATAGATCGACTTGAAAAAACACAAACAATTAAATTTTCGGGCCACTTCATCCCAAATTTTTTATGTGATCATCACCGACAGTTATAAGCGTTGACCTTGACCATAACTGGAACCTTTAGGAATTTTTTTAAGCGATCAGCGCTTTTTTTCGGCCTTATAATGTTAATGGGTTACTAAATAATCGCCCATGTGACATGTTCCGAGAGTTTTTGAATTCCCATACTTTTTTAAATTCCCATGTTGTGCAAAATGGTGTGCTCAATTTCGAGCGAAAGTGCGGCTCGAAAGCATAGCTGTTTTCAATATGTTACGAAATGTGTTTCTACCAGAAAAAGTCTAATGATGCTGGAACGTGTTGAAATAAGCATTTATGGATATTTTGAGAGAAGTTGGTCCTTTCATACCAGCAACGTACACAGGATTTCATTTCGGGGGGGCCCGGTAGTACAAAATGAAAAAATTCGCTGTTACAAACATAAATTTACTGGGAAAAAAAATAATTTCGGGGGGGGGCCGGGCCCCCCGGGCCTCCCCCCTGCGTACGTCCCTGTTTCATACACAAGGGTACCATTCCCGAAAGCCTACAGTTAGCAGCTACCTTAGGATTCCTGGCTGTTGGTGGATTTCAGAGGGTAGTGGCAAATGATTTAAAAATAAGTGTTGATCGCACAACAATGTGTAAAATATTGTGGAGAGTAATGAAAGTCCTGGAAGACAAAGTGTGTGCAAGCTGTGGACAGCTGCAGACCAGGAGGGACCCTTTATTATTTTCTTTAATTTTACTTTAAAAAGTAATGTAAATACTGTATTTTTTAAATAAATATTGTAAAAACACGTTAAATATTACTTCAGCGTTCTTTTTCAACTTGTACGTGCTCAGAGAAACACGTACGATCTCATTTCGTTTTCAATCCACAAGGCTATATGTGCTCGAATTATATTCCCAATATTTTTTTGGGAATTCGGAATGGAGCACACCAAATTTGGGAAAATGTTTCACATTCGAGCAAACTCGAAATGCAGCACATGGGCGAATATCTGAATACGTAAGCACCTATAAATTTAATATAGTTTAACTCTCACATCCGAGTACATACGACAATATAATTGGTATCCAATTTAAAGGCCAACCACTCCTCTTGGATATACTGTCAACTTCCTTGGTCTATGTCCTTCAGGAGTAGTTATATACGCCATAGAATACAAATTTTGTCATTTTTCAGACAAAAGTCAGGGTCCCGCTAAATAATGACCGATCTTTTTTAAAACAGGCATGCTTATTCTTTGGCCCGATCCCCTTCTTCGCGATATTCGGGCCATAATTGCGATCTCTGGAGCGACCAGAAAACAGGACAAAAATTAAGTATTTGG